TCACCTCCCTGCCTTCCCCCTGCTCACCTCTCTGCCTTTGTACTTCACCCATAGGGAACCCCCCATCCCACACCCTTCACCCACCTCTCCCTGCTCTCTCCTACCAGGCAGCAGCAGTGGGGAACCTGCCCCCCTTCCTGCGGGACCTGACGACACGGGTGCACAGTGCTGTGCCAGGGGGGCTGGTGATCTGGTACGACAGCGTCCTGCAGGATGGCACGCTGAGGTGGCAGAATGAGCTGAATGAGAACAATAGGTGAGGTTGGCAAAATTGGCCCTGGGTGGGGGGCATGAGCCCACCCCAAACCCTGTGCAGGAGTAGTCAGGGCATGACCTGTGCAGCCCTCAGTGTGGGGGGGTGTCTGTGAGGACAGCCACAGCAACTACCCTGCCACCCTGACCCTCATCCCTAGGGTGTTCTTCGATGCCTGTGATGGGCTGTTCACCAACTACAACTGGAAGGAGAAGCAGCTGGAGCACACACTCAGGCTGGCTGGGCCACGCCACGCCGACGTTTATGTTGGTGTCGATGTCTTTGCCCGTGGGGACGTAATCGGTGGTGGCTTCGACACTGACAAGGTGGGTGTGACAGGGCTGGGCCAGAATGGGGCCTTGGACCTCCCCTGGTGCAGGGCTCTGAGCTCCCGCCAATGGCTGTGCCATGCCCTGTTGGGCTGCTTACCTGGGGATGAACTGGTGAGGAGTGGGGGATCCCAGAGCTCCTGGACATGCATGGAGAGGGAGCTGGGGGTTCTCCAAGCTGCCATCCCTGGAGAGGGAGATGCCACAGCACATTCCCACAGTGTTCTGCCCCACCACGGGGCCAGTGGGACCTGGGAGGGAGCAGGAGCAGGGACAAGACAGGTGACAAAGTGACTACGTGGTCTGGTCTGTGCTGCTCACCACTCATCTCTGCAGTCCCTGCGCCTGATCCGCCAGCACAGCCTCTCCGCAGCCATCTTCGCTCCCGGCTGGGTCTATGAGCACCTGGGGGAGGAAAACTTCCTGCAGAATGAGAATAGGTGAGAGCAGCTCAGCAGGAGGTTGTGGAGGAATGGGGCTGGGCCAGGAGGACTGTGGGGTGGCAGGAACAGGGCTGCTGGGACACCGTGGCTGCCAGGGTACTGTGGCTGGCACCCGGGCTGCTGGCCAGGAGCCAGCTGGTCCCACTCTGCCACAGCTGACACGATGCTCTAGACCATACAGGGGAGCAGCTATAGCCGGGGGCTCTGCCCTGACACCCACCTTTGCCTCCAGGTTCTGGGGCTTGCTGGCTGACTACTTGCCCACACACAGCATCTGCACACTGCCCCTCGCCACCTCCTTCAGCCTGGGCATGGGCACCAGCAGGTTCCTGGATGGGAAGGTGGGTGCAGAGTGACAGTTCTGGTCTGGCTGGACTGGGTTGGGATGGGCAGGGGGTCCCTGCTCTTGGCTCCCTCAACCCAGCTCTCCCTGTGCTGCAGGATGAAGAGTCTGGGCCCTGGTATGACCTGAGCATGCAGGAGATCCAGCCCCTGTACCCAGAACACCAGGGCAGGCTGAGCACCAGCTGCTGCCTGCAGGACGCCTGGTGTGGGGGCAGCTCCCTGAGGCTGCAGGGGACCATTCCCCCCGGCGAGGAGCGCGTGGCCATCCGGTGAGTTGGGGCAAAGCCCTTTACCCCCTCCTCAGCACCAGGCTGGCACCATGTTGGCACAGCACAGCCAGCATGGCCCAAGCTGTGTGGCCCCAGGGCCTTGTGGCAAGTGAGCTGGGGCTCTGCCCACACTGCCCAGCACACCTAACCCAATGTATCTTTGTTTCTCTGTCTCTGTCTCTGTCTCTCTCTCTCTCTCTGGGTGGATTTGGGGTCATTAGCCTCTTCTCTTTGCAGATGCCGGCACCCCCCAAGCTCTTCTTGACCCTGCTCTACAAGCTGGAGGGGCCACAGTCCGATGACTTTGTGGTGGCACTGGAGGTCACCACCTGGGACTCAGGGACCTGCCTTGAGGGCAACCCCACTTCCCTGCCTGGTGAGGACCCTGTCTCGCCATGCTCTCTGCAGTGAGCACCCACTGTGTGCACGGGACCAGCTCAGTCCCCTGCCCCCTGACCTGGCTCCCTCTTGCAGAGCCCAATGGTCGGTATCACCCCCGGTTCCTCCCGGCTCCACCGCCTGGACTTGCCAAGCTGCTTGCTGCCTGCCACCGTGGCTCCCATGGCTGGACCAGCCGGTGAGTGCCCTGCCTGCATCCTGTCTCCACAGGCAGGCATGAGACACCGTGACTCCCTGGTACAATTCCCACTCTGCCCCTTCCCTCTTAGGTGCTATGAGCTGGAGCTGCAGGACTGCAGCCTGCGAGACCTCTCTGTGATTGTGTCCCGCCAGCAGCCCAGCCCACAGGAGACATCCTTCACCTGCCTCCTCGGGGAGGTCCGGGTGAGTGCCTGCCGCTGTCAGCTGGAGCCACCTGCCTGATGCCACCCTTGTTCTGGGAAGGTGGGAGGGTGCCTGCTGCTCCCTGACAGCCCTGTGGTTCCCTCACAGGTGCTGGACACGGCCAGCGTGGCGGCTTCCCCGCCACAGGTGCAGAGTGTGACAGCCTCGCAGCTTTGGTGGCAGGAGGGCCCTGAGCCCGAGGAGCTCTCGCTCAGCCTCACCCTGCGCTGGTCCTTCCCGCCTGGCCGTGCCGGATGCTTCCGTGTCCTGAGCCAGGGTGCCCGGTGCCGCCGGGGCCAGACGGCACCACAGCTGCTGGGGCTGGCACAGGGCTGCCTGTTCCGTGCCGTGGGGCTGCCGGTGCCGCGGCCGACGCCTGGGCAGTCCTGCCGGCTGGAGCTGCTGGTGGAACCGGTGCTGCGGGACGAGCTGCCCGTGGACCCCGACCGCTGGGGCCGCCTCGTGCTGGTCTATTCCTCACCAGGCAGTGGCACCAGCTCAGATGGGCATTAAAGCAACCGTTGTGCAGCCCGTTTTGTGTTTCCTCCATGCGGTGGGTGGGCTACGGGTGGGGGACACCAATGGTGGAGGCTGCATTTCATCACCCTGGATAGGTGGGTCCCTCTTCTCCCGATCTGTGGTTGTGCTCAGCCCTCACCATGGGGGCCCGCTGGGCGCTGACCAGGGCCCTGTGATGGGCTGGCAAGGACCTGTGACCTGCCCCCCAGCTCCTGCAGCCCTCACTGCCTGCAAGCTGTGTGTCCACAGGATGGGGCTACTTGTCCCAAGAACCCCAAGCCCCATACCCTCTCCCCTCAGGGCCCAGTCCAGTGGGGAGATGCCAGCATGGGTGGCCACTGTGCCCATCACTGTGGACCCAGCCCAGTGCCATCAGCCTGTGCTGCCTCCCCTGAGCATCTTCTGAGGAGGAGAGAAAATTTATAGCAGCAATTATTTTCTCACAGTCTGGTGAGCAAGCAATTAGCAGGCAGAAGCAGGCGAGCGCACTCGCAGTGGGGTACTCAGCCACACACCCTCTGTGTGCTGGCCCTGTCCCCAAACAATGCGGGCTCCGATCAGGGACATCAATGCCAGCGGTGAGGCGGGAACACGCTGGGGAACGAATTTCTTGATGGTTTGAAGAATGAAGGGCTAAGCCCAGCCAAGGAAGGGTTCCCTGTGCCGCACCCTGCTCCCTCGTCATGGTGAGGCCAAGGGCTCCGTGGGTCCCCCCCTCACCCACAGGCTGCAGCCCCCTGCTCAACACGACTGGACCTACTGTGGCAGCCGCAGCCCCACGCCCCTGCACCAGCACCCCAGTCAAAACCTGAGTTGCCCTGGTTGAAGAAAGAAATCTTTATTAATAATTTCAATAATAATAATAATAATAATAATAATCCTTGTAATAATAATAATAATAATAATAATAATAATAATACTGTTTATTAGAATGGTCACACCTTTAAGCATACAGGATGGGCCGGCGCCAGCCCGCACGCCGGGGCGGCGCAGGGGTGCTGTAAGGGAGAAGCCAGTACAGCGATGGACGGAGCTTTGTACACGGGGGTGGGCGGGGGCCGGGGCTATGTACACCAGGAATAGAAAAGGGGGAGCTCATCGCTGGGGCGTCAGGGGCGTCTGCAGACTATAAAGTGAGGTTTGAGGAGTGGCAGAGCCACGTGGGTGGGGGGCAAGGGGCTGAGTGCGAGGCCGCCCATGGGACAGGGCTGCACCCCAGGGTGGGCTCCACAGCACCCCATGCCATCAGCCACTGGAGCCAGTGTGCCAGCGGCTGCAGCCCAACCCCGGGGCTCGGGCAGGTCCCCACGGGTGATGCAGCGGCTGAGACCCCGCGCCCAGGGCTGGGGGGTCCCGCTGCCTTGGGCAGGGTGGCTGTGAGCATGACCCACGCTGCAGAGCAGGCGGGAGCAGGAGCAGGAGCGGGGCAGTCCCTGGCCCGGCTTCGGTCAGGGCTGCTCCGGGCAGGGTGGGAGCGCAGGGTGTCAGGGATGGAGGGAGGGGAAGGGGTCGCAAGCGAGTTGCAAGCTCCTCTTAACAAAAATTCCCTTTAAAAGGCAGAGGCTTGTCCCCTGCAACGCCTCAGCACCGCGGCCACGCCGCCGCCCCAGTTCCACACTGGAGCCGAGGCCTCGCACACTTGACACGCTGATGGCCGGCAGCGCCGGGTCTCGGGCAGCACGAAGCTGGGTCCCCACCCTGTCACCCGGTCCCCCGAGCCAGGCAGGGGTGCAACGCTCTGCCGGCACCCCCAGCGCTGCCACACCGGGAAAAGGAAGACGTGGTGCCCAGGCCCTGCGCCTGGGCAGGTGAGGGCCCCGTGGACCCCCACGGACCCCCATGCCGGCTCCCTCCCTGCCGGGCTGTGGGCCGGGGCGCAGCGGGTCCCTCCGGCGCGTCCGGCCGCCGGTGCTCGCCACGGCTCCTCCGGGACTTGCTCGCTCGGTGCTTGTGGACAGTTTGGGACTCACTTGGCTGCTTCCGCTTGGCTTTGTTTTTCTTTTTTTGTTGCTTTGCTTTTAATTTTTTTGTTCGGTTTTTTTTTTTTTTTTTTTGTGTGTGTGTGTGTGTATTTTTTTGCCCTTCCTGGTCCCAGAAGGAAACAGCCGTGGGTTCACTACAACAGAAACAAGAGAGGCAGGTCTTTCGCTGGAGCAGCCTGGCCGAGCCACTGGCCAGGGGGGACACAGGCACCAACCTGGCCCCCGAGCCCATACAGCCAGCCCAGCCTCATGCACTCAGCTCTGCAGAGCAGCGCGGTCAGCCCAGAGAAGTGCTATTGCCCGGGGGTGCCTTGGGGTCCTGCACCTTCCCCAACCCCATCTGTCTCCAGAGCTGGCAGCAGCCCCCGCCAGCTCCTCTCTCTCCTATGGGGGCAGAGGGGCTGCTTGGGAGCTGCCATCGCCCCATGCCCCAGCACCTCGGGTCAAGCATCCCTGTGGGCTGAGCACCCCGGCGGGCTGAGCATCCCCTCCTGCCTCACAGGGGAACGAGCCCTCTGCACCCCAGCCAGGGCAGTGCCTGTGGGGGGACCCTGCACCCCAGCTCTGGAAACGGGGTGCCACTGGGGCCGAGGGCTGGGCCCGTTCCCCGCGGTCCCCGGGGCGGGCGGACGGAGCAGGAGAGGTGCGGCGGGACGGAGCGGCTGAGGTAACCCTACAGGTGTGGGTGCCGCGGCCCCGCAGAGCCCGGCGCCAGCCCCGGCCACCCAGGCAGTGCCCGCGGGTCCTCCGCAGGCTCGGCCTCGGCTCTGTCTGCCTGGTTTGGTTTGGTGCTAGTGAGCATCAGGGGCAGTGGTGGGGGGGCTGGGTCTGTCTTGCTAGTAGGGAGTGAAGCGGCTGTACCCTCCTCGGTATAGACTAGCCTGCAACATCAAAGATGAAAAAAAAGCCAATCAGTATTTGGAGAGAGGCAAAGCCCAGATCTTCCCTTTTTTCCTTTTTTCTTCTCTTTTTTTTTTCCTCTTTCAACTGATAACAAATTCCTGCTGTTCTTGGGACATGAGGATTGGGCAAGGCCAGGGTGCCCAGTGCTGCCCAGGCTCTGTGGTGGCCATGGGTACTGCCCTGGGGCCAGAGGGTGCCATGTGCCCCAGCCATGGCACCGCCATGATGTGCCCACCGAGGAGCCTGTCCCCATCCCTGCTGTGGCACGGGGTTGGAAACCCCCAGGATGGAGTGCCCATGGCCCCTCACTAGTGGCTGCCTGGGGCTGGGGGTGCCAAGGGAGTAAAAAATGCCAGAGAAAGGTGGGTTGGCTTTGAGGTCCCACCCATGAGTGAGATTTTTCATCTTTGATGCTGTCAGAGATAGCCAAGAACCGCGGCGCATGGGGGGCTGCAGTGCTCCCTGTGTGTGGCTCTACGTGGGGACCTGGGGACAATGCCCTGCACTGGGATGAGAGAGGGGATCCCAGACTCCAGGCAGGGCCCTGGGACATTGAGCAGGCAGCTGGCATGGGGTGTAGCCAAGCCCCCGGGAAGCAGAGTGCATGGGCAGGACTACGCAGGGTGTGAGGGGTACACGGAGCAGAGGTGCAGGGTAGGGGGTCTTCTCTCCTGCAGACAGAGCCAGGCAGGGGCTGCGCTGTCCCCGCTCCCCTCCCACAGTCCCCGTGTGTGGGGGTGCCCCATGCCCTGCAGGCTGGCCGGCTGCCGTGCTGGCCCCCTCCCCGGGCTGGCTGCAGCCCCCCGGAAGCAGAGGAAGGCCGAGGGGCTGCTCTTACCATGGTGCCGATGCTGTACGTGGCGGCAGGGCCGATGGTGTGGTGGTAGGGGTCTGCTGCTGCGTACACTCTGCCGTAACTAGGAAGGAGCAAACACAGTGGTGGTTGTTAGTGACAAGAGTGGGGGTCCTGTCTCCCCTTGGAGCCCTCCTGCCCAGCTGTGCCTGGGAGCCCCCCAGAATCTCCCTCCAGTGGTGCCAGCCCTTTCCAGTCCCAGCTCCGAGGGAAGCGCAGGGGTCCCAGTTTGCAGGACACCCTCCCCATGCCTGACCCTGCCCATCCTGCGGTGCACAAGAGCTGGGGGGGTCAGAGTGCAGGGGGTGACACGGGGCTCCCCCCCCGCGGTGCTTACCTGTCACTGTACGCTGCCGCTGCTGCCGCAGGCTGGGCGTACCTGTAGGCAGCATAGCCCCCCTGCAGGGAGGAGAGACTGGTCAGGGGGCAGCACCCACGGTGGGGGGAACCAGGGTGAGGGCAACTGGGTGCCCCACGGCACTGCACATTACAGTGGTGAGGCCTGTGGGGAGTCAGTGCTGGTGCCACTGGGCACGCAGCAGCCTCATTACCATTCCCCAAGGGCTTTCACAAACATTAACCTTAAAAAATTAAATTTCCAGAGGAGAGAATGTCACCTCCCCACTCGCTTTAATGAGGTGCCACGTTAGATAAATCCTTCAGCGCCCGCCTGAAATATTGCTGCTGGCTCCTCAGACACAGAGGTTAAACGTGGGTGTAAGGCACTGAGACCGTAAATCCCACGTGGTGCTGGCCCCGCAAGGGGGCTGGTGGGCACAAGACAGGGCACAGGACCCCAGGCAATGCCACCCAGATCGCTCCAGAGGAGACACACTCTGTTCATACTCTGCCTCCCAGGAAAAGGGGGTGGCAGGGGCAGAGCCCACCATGGAGATGCCCAGTGCTGCCTGCTCCCTGCCCTGGCATGGGGTCCCCATCATGGCCCAGCCCTGGGCACAGTGTCACTTACATAGATCTCAGCTCCGTAGAACCCGTCCTGGTAGACGACCCTGGAAATGAGGTGGAGGCGTCAGAGCCGGGCCAGTGTCCCCAGATGAGGGGGGCAGAATGAGGGTGGTGAACGAGGGGAGCTGCCTCAACAGCGCAGCTGAGGGGTGAGGAGTGGTTGTGCAGGCCCTCGAGGGCATGTCCAGGCTGGCACCCTGGGCAGGGACCTAGGGACAGGTGGACGGCACGGCCCAGGGCCAGGGGTGCTACAGGGATGGAGGAGTCTGGAGCATGATAGCTGCTGGGAGCAGCTGAGCAGCTGCAGATGGCCATGGCCATGTCCGTGCCCAATGCCAGCACAGCCACATGTGCCAGGAGAGAGTCTCCATTAAACCAACCATCCTGGCTGGAATAACATCCCGTGCCTTGGGGCACAGGAGGCTGGTGAGTGCGTGGGTCACCCTGAGGGCAGCAGCCTGGGGGTTGCAGAGAGTCCATGGCCAAGCAAGTGCTGTGGGAGCTGCAGCCCGTTCCTGATGTGTCAGAGCCTGGTGACGCTGCTGCAGACCCGGAGCAGTGCCAGCACAAGCCCCCCGCCCCAGCAGGGCCCCGCCGTGGCCGTGGATACTCACGTGCCGTAGGTTGGGATGGGTGGCGGCGGCGGCGCAGCTCGGAAGGTGTTGTAGACGGCGCGTCCCCGTCCCCGTAGGTGTGCCCCTCGGTAGGCCACGGCTGTCCCCGTGGTGGGGTATGGGAATCCCGTTACTGTGGGAGGAGGGGACACACATGGGCTTTCCACAGCAGGTCTGCACAGCCGCAGCGGGGGTGACAGAGCCCACCTCTGTACCCCCGGCCTGTCAGGGACATGGTCCCGTGGGGATGCTGGGCAAGGGGATGGGATGGGGGGAGCAGTCCAGGCAGGGGTCCAGGACAGGGAGAGGGACTGGGGGCTGCTTGTTGTGCTGAGCAGTGGCAAGGTCAGACAGAATGCAGAGCTGACGTCTGGGGGGCACCTGTGGCAGGGACGGCTGCAACCCGGTTATTACCTGCGTAGAATTCGGGGCCATAGACTGCTCCCACCACTGGGTTCAGCTTCCAGCCTGTGGGCAGAGAGAGCCAGTGAGGACAGGGCACTGCTCCCGTGGCACACTCCTGAGGGGCCACAGCCCCATCCCTGGGCAGGAGGAGGGCATGGAGGGGTTGTATGCCCGCACTGGGCAGGGGTGGCTGCTCTCCACAGCGGAGGATGTTCACAGTCAGAGCTCCACGGCAGCCAGGCAGTGAGCGTGCCCAGGGGATGCCCCTGCCCACTGCAGTCCCTGCTCTCTGGACACTGGCCCTTACCGTTGGTGTAAGGGTTGGCCACCTTCTTGTTGGTCATGACGCGGGCTGTGGCATTGTTCACCTGCAGAGAGAGGGACAGGGGCTCAGTGCCTGCGGGCCGTGGGGCTGGTGAGGCCGTGGTCCAGAGGGCCCGCTCGGCTGTGCTCGGTGCATCTCGCTGCTGCTGCAGGTGCCGGAGCGAAGGACGCCGGCTGCAGCGGAGCCGTCACCAGGCAAGTCTCTGCCCGCAGCCGCCCCACCACACGCAGACCTGCTCGTACCCCCAGCCAGGCCAGGCCTCCTGGCTTCAGCAACGAGTGTGGGTCAGGCTGGTGGCTGATGCCCTGAGTGCTGCGGTGCCATGCTCAGGCCTGGCTTTGTTGGACCATGTTTTCCCCATCCATGGGGCGCTGCTGTGCCCTGCGAGGCTCCTTCCCTGCCCTCAGCACTGCTGGGACGTTTTGTCCCATTCCCTCTGCCATGTGCCACCCTGCTTCCCACTGCTTGCCGGCCATCAGTGAGGAGCTGCTGATGAATGGGCAGAGCCTGATGCCTGTGCCAGGCCTGGAGAAATCAAAGCCTCCAGGGACAGGTAACCTCCGGCACTGCGGGTGCAGAGCCCTGAGTGGATCCCCCCTCCCGGCACAGGACAGGTGGGAACGGCACATGGGGCAGAGCCCTAAAGCTCCCTGCAGAGCGTGGGGCAGCTACACAGCAGGCACAGGGCTGCGGGTGGGGGTCTCTGCCAGACCCATCTGTACCAGATGGCAGAACAAAGCCCCAGCTGAAATCCCGGCTCTTCCTGCACATGGGAGGTTCCTTTGGGCCGGATGCTCCTTGTGCCAAGCGATGAACTTCCTGGCAGCCGGCACACATGCTCCTGTGCCACATTCAGGGACACATGCAAAGGCCGGGCACAGCTCCCCGGGGGCACCCAGGACCCAGAGCTGCCCTCAAGCATCCCGCAGCCCGGGCAGGGGACACGCACACGCAGGCATGGCACGGCACTAGCACACTTATCTGAGCACCTCAATCTTCCGGCCCTCTACGATGGTGCCATTCAGCTTCTCTCGTGCCCGGTCGGCATCTGTGCTAGTTTCAAAAGTTACAAACCCAAAACCCTGTGAGCAGAGGAGAAAAGGAGAAAGAAGGAGACAGAGAGAGAGAGACAGAGAGAGGGTGCGGGGACAGAGAGAGAGAGGGGGTGAATCAGGAGAGCTGGCACAGAGGTGAGGCTGCCACAGTGCAGAGATGGAGAGCCCGGGCTGGGGTCCCCGCAGGGCCTGGGGGTCCCGGCTGAGGCCCCAGCATCGCCCACAAGCTGGGAGAAGAGTCTGGGAGAGGGGCACAGAAAACGGGGAAGATACAACAGAGACATCCAGACACAGAGGGACATGAGCTGCCTGTGGGGGGGCAGAGCAAGCCCTTCCTTCCCTCCAGTGCCAGGGCCACCCCAGTTGGTGCAGGAGCTACCCCGAGATGGGGCATCCCATGCCAAGATCCCATGGGGCAGGAGAGGAGAGTAGGTTACAGTGCTGTCAGGCAACCCAGCTCCGCTGACCCCCTCCCCAGGACTTGCCATACAGTGCCAGCTGTGGGCAGCACCCACCTTGGAGCCCCGTTCATTGAAAATGATCTCCACATCCAGTATCTTCCCGAATTGCTGCAAGTGGAGAGAGCAGAAGGGTGAGTGCCTGTAGAGCTCCTGGCCCCACACCCGGGGCTGCTGGCATGGGGCTCTGTGCCAGGGATGGGCCAGGGGCTGCCTTGGGGGCCAGGGCCAGGGAGTCTCAAGGCCATGCAGGGGAAAACCCTCATCCATCCCATGGCTCCCACTCTGCCAGGACTTTGGGAGTGTCACCCAAAATCTCATTAGCCAGCACTACTCTGAGTCCTAATGAGGGCTAGGAAGGGGATAGTGAGGGGAGACAAGGGTTCTGTGTCACTCCCCGCTCCATGCACAAGATGGGCCCTTGGAAGGGGACAGTGTCAGTGTCCCAATGGTGACACAGGGTAGCATTGAGCAGGGAGCAGGTGACATGGTGCTGGATGGGGCTGGACTCACCCCAAACATTTGCCGCAGGTCAGGGTCCCGGAATCGGAAGGGGATGTTGGAGACGTGTAACCTCTTAGGCTGCTGCTTGTCTGTGTTGTCTGAGGAATGTAGCTGCTGGCTGTCTGTCTGTGCCGCCTCGTCTGTCTGCTGTGGGAGGCACCACCACCATCATCCCCTGGCCGTGCCCGACTCATGTCCCTGCTGGGGCTCCAGTCTTGGGGAATGTCCCCCTGCCCTGTGCTTGGCCCTGCCTGCCCCCAGGGACACCCTGAAACCAGCGGTCCCCAAGCCTCAGGCAGCACCCCATGAGTGTCCCTGCATCCTGCTGAGTTGGGGGGATGATGGCAGGGCTGGGGGGGTGCTTGAGGCCGGGGTGCAGATGCTGCCTGCCGGGCCATGTGGAAGCACCGGGAAATGCTGAGCTCAGCGCTTTCCCAGTGCTGAGTTCCAGCCCTGTAATTGCCATGATCTGGTGGACCAGAGCCAAGCAGGTGGATTACAAGTGATTAGAAATGACGGGGAGGGGCTGCTCGGAGAGGCGATGGTGGGAGCACCCAGCCCGGTGCCCCGTGGGACTGCAGCCAGGCAGCACCACTGCCCCAGCACCCTCCCAGATGCTCTGGCAATGCCCTCGGCCCCCCCGTGCCCCCTGACCCGCTGCCTTACCGGTACCGTCTGTGTCCCTGCTATGGACTGTGTGCTGGCGTCGGTGCCCGGCTGCTCGGCGTGGCTCTGTGCTGGTGTGTAGAGGGTCATGGCGTGCTCCGGTACTGTGCTCTGCCCCGAGTAGTCCTGCGTGGGGTGGGGGTGCGGTGGTGCGTACTCTGCGGGGATTCCGTTCTGGGGGGGCGGGGGGTACTGGGCCGGGGGGTAGGGCTGAGCCATCGCGTCCGGCGGAGCCGTGGTGTCCTGGTTACCCTGCCAAGAGAGTGGCACCGTCCCCCTTAGCCGCTGGTGTACCTGGGGTGCCTGGGCTGCCACCTGCCCACAGATGGAGTCCTGGTCCCCGCAGCCAGACCCAGGCCCCCCCACCCCACTACTCCACAGCCCCCCTAAACACTGGTCCATCTCCGTGCTGCAGTGGCTCTGGGCTCACGTTTCTATCGGCTGAGCCCCGATCCTCTCCCCCTCTGAGGCCCTGTGTACCTAGTGCACTGGGGCTTGGGTAGGAGGATGGACACTCCTCCATGGAGTTTAACTCCTGAAGTTGGCACATCTCTGCCCTTGGGGACAGAGACCCAGGTAGACCCCATTTTGAAGCCCAAGGTGAGGCAAAGCAGAGCCTGACTGGCAGCATTGCTGTGGGGGGGCTGCACAGCACTGGCACCTGCCAGTGTCCCAGTGCCAGTGGTGGCAGTCAAGGGGAACAGGGCTGGGCAGGCAGGGAGGCGAGGCAGAGAGGAGGAATGCTGATGGTCCCTTGGTAAACACCATACAGGGATCAATTAACTGCTAAATATTTGATTAGGCCTTTTGCTCTAACGCAGCGGGCCTGGCTGCCCCAGTCAAACCGGGTAAGCTGTACCCACGCCAAAGGCCGAAGGCTGTTGGGGGTTTGTGGGGGGCTGGAGGTGTCACCCACACGGCTGTGCAGCCCACAGCCTGCACCTCTCCTGCACACCCACCCATTCACCCACTGTCCATCTTCACAGCCCAGCGTGCCCCCGTGGGCTCTCCCCCCTCACACACGTGTGTGCCGCGCACAGCCGCCCACCACGGCGTGTGGCCACAGCCCCCACAGCAGCCCCGAGGCCACGCAGGGCAGCGCCCGCAGCCCCCCAGATGCTTTACAACGTGCCGTGGCAGCCTCTCGCCCGTGAAATCCATCTGTGGCTCAGCCTGCGGAGACAAGCTCCTTAATTGTGTGTGCCGCGAATTTATGTTGCTGGGGGATGGCAGAGGGCTGCAGAGGGGACGCGCTGGCAGCCGCCATCCCCAGCCCACAGGGCCGTCGCGCCTGCGAGGGCGGCGGCAGAGCCGCGCCGGGGACACATGGAAACCCAGCGGGAATAGCCCCGCTGCAGATCTGCAAGTCATCGGCAGCGCCGGCCGTGCTGACTCAGCTGCTCGGGACGCGCCAGCCTGAGGCACCTGCCAGCGCGGGCCGGGGCTGCCACGCTGCAGGAGCCGAGCCCATCGCCGGTGCTGCCCCAAGACGGGCAGCCAGGAACTGCTCCTGCCCACACCGCTCCTGCCCACACCGCTCCTGCCCACACCGCAGGTGCTAACGCCACCTGGCATCTAACCCTGCTCCAGGGAGCAGGCAGACACCGACAGTCGCAGCGGTCACACCTCCAGTGTGACCCTCCCTGCTGCATCCCTAGTTCCCAGTGCCCACCTTTGCCTTGCCTGCATGCACAGAGAAAGGAGCAGCCCACATCCCTCCTGCCTGGGACACTCATCCTAGCTGTCACCACAGCCAGGATCAGCCACCACCATGTGGGGACCGGGGGCAGGGGGATGCAGATGGGTGCCAGGACAGGGACTGTCCCGACCTGCCCAGATCTTGGGCCCTGCTGGCCCCTCGTCAGCCTGTCCTGACAGCCATGTTCGTACCAGTTATTAATTAGGGCTGTCGCAGAGCCTGTCAACCCGGGTATTATTTCATTCAGGGACCATTAGGTTCCCCCGGTTGCTGCTCACAGTGTCGGGGCTGCAGGTGCTGCAGAGACGCAAATCCAGGGCTCCCAGGGCTCCCAGTGCCTCCCACTGCCCCCAGCACCCAGCCACCCCCACTGGGGACAGGGCTGCTCAGTGGCTGGTGGGGGTTGGGGGTGAGGGCTCCATGGGGAGGGGGATGCCGGTGGGTTTGGTTGTGTGATGCTTGCTGATATCACAGGGAAAAAGCTGCTGCTCAGCTCTGCACCCCACACTGCCCGCAGTACTGGAACAGCCCCATCCCCAGGCAGCCCTGGGCAGTGAGGGCCCCCCTGCTCCTCCCAGGTGGTTACTGTGGCCCCTTCTCGAGGTTCCTCCCTGCACTGAGCACCCAGGGGTCCTGGGGGACCCAGTTCTGCAGCCCAGAAGAGGCAGCCCGGGTGCTCCCAGCCTGGTGTGCCTGGCCATGTGGGGAGCCCGTGGCACAGTGCTGGCCTGTGGGTGGTAGGGACAGGTGCTCTGACACACATCCCTTGCTCCCACTGTACCTGTTCCTCCTGGGGTGTGGGAATGCTCCCACACGGTGCTTTCGGCACTTGCAATAAAAGAAATGCTGATCATTAATAGTCCTTGGCCTCATTTAAAACGAGACAGATCAGTGTAGTGCCCAAGCCTGGAGCAAAGCCGGTGGCATTTAACATGGCACAGGAGACACAAGTAGTACTCCACCACCTCCGCTGCCCACCTGCTTGTGCAGGTACTGCCAGGACTGTGGCACAGCCCTGTGCTGAAACACCACAGCCCCAGGGACAGCAGGGGAGAGGCTGGGATGGGGAGCCCAAGTTCCCCTGTGCAGTGTCCCCTGTATGGTGTCCCCTGCCCGGTGGCTGCTGCCTGGCATCCTCTCCATGGTGTCCCCTGCCCTGCCCATGGCTCAGTCTCGCACCACCAGCCCTGCGCAACGGCTGCTGCAGCAGGCAGTGGGTAGATATCATCTTTAGCTGATTAAATGTCCCTCATTAACGAGTTTCTTTAATTAATGAAGTTTTTTTGTTTGCTCCACTTGCTTTCTCCCCCTGTACTCTGCCTCCTCAGCACAATCCAGGCCATTTCCTTTCAAGTCATTTAGTGTGTGGGGCCGGTTCCTGCCGACGCCGCACTTTGGTGATTGTGCCTGTCAGCTTGGGGCTGACAACGCCGTTTCCCACATTTGCTCCTTTTTAAGAAAATAATGCACCGAGAGCCCCCAGACCCAGAGGATGGGTCAGAGCAATCAGCCGAGTGCAGAGCCCTGTGCTAACAATGGGGCACCCGCTGGCCACGAGCACCCTGCGATGGGCCACCAAACCCTGCCCACAGCAGGCATCCTGCCAGCACAGTGATGGTGCCACGAGTGAGTGCCTGGGGTTATCGGCCGCACACCAGCACCTGCACCCTGCTGCCACCACAGCCGCAGCCACCACAGCCGTGCCTAATTTCCTCTAAAGCCTCATGGCCACCCTGCTGCTTTGGCCTGGCCCCACTCCCATCTCCAGCCCATGCCAACTCCCACCAGCCCACTCTGCCTGCAGCTGGGCCCTTCCCACACTACGCAGTGTTGATGGTGCAGAGGCAGCACAGCATTGCCCAGTCACAGCATGACACCACCCAGTCATGGTATGGCACTGATTGGTCATGGCAGGACACTGCTTGGTCATGGCATGGTACTGCCTGGTCACGGCTCGGCACTGCCAGGTCATGGTTGAACCTGCTTGGTCACAGCACCACCCTCTCATGTACAGCTGGGCTTGAAGCCAGCATGTGGAGCCCCGGAGCAGCTGGAGAACGGACACAGTCCTGTCACCACACACCTCCCCACCCTGACAGTGGTCCCCACTGCTGCAGCTGTCCCAACTCCTCCTGCTGGGAACCAGACACCTCCTGTGGGGGTGGGAAATGGGGCCGAGGTCCTCCCCCCACCACAGCATCTGCAGAGCACCCCCAGGCGTTCCTGCAAGCTGCAGAGCCTCAGTGGGCACATCCCACAGGCAGCACAGGCAGGGCAAGCAGCATGGGCAGAGAGTGCAGGCAGAAAGCACGTAGCTGTGACCTGGAGTGGCTTCTGCCCGCTCATGGAGGACAGGGCATCCCCTTGCCACATTATGAGGCAGCCTGAGGTCACTGCTGTGCTCAGGGAAGGGTGTTGAGCAATTCCCAAGGTCCCCTGTGGACCTGTGCCTACCAGCAGGAGACCGAGCAGGCAGCAGCCAGGGATGCCAATGGGACCATCTGCCCTTGTGCCCACTGCTCCAGAGCAGGGCAATGTAGCACGCTGGGCTGCAGAGATGGGCTCAGCAAATGCCCCAATGGAGGCAGGAAGGTCCTGGCATGGTCCCACGTGCCCCCCATGCACCCTGGGCCCCCCCTGCCATCACTGTGCCCAGCACGGCTCATCTGCGTGACAGCCACAACGTCCCCTCTTCGACCCGGCAGCTCGTTCATGCTAATGACTGTCAACATGAAACAGAGGCCGTGAAGGGGAAGAAAATTACTCCCTGAAAAGGAATTGACTGATCCCCATCATTTCTCACGGAACCACTGACCTGTGAATATTTCATTACCCCAAATGCTGCACCATCCATACAAAGCAGCACCTGGCCCTGCACAGGCACCGGCCGTGGAGCTCCCAGCTGCGGTGGAGCAGGGTCAGGGTGCTCACCATGGGGACAGCCCTGGCCCCAGGAGGGACGAGCTCTGCCCACCGTGGGGACAGTGGGAGGTGGCGGTGGGTTGCTTCTCCCCAGAGTGGGGCCAGACCTCACAGAAAGCTGGGTGGGACGATGAGGAAGGACCCGGGGGAAGCAGCAGTGAAGGCGTGAGGAGCTGCGGGGACCAGAGGCAGCAGCAGTGGCACTGGATGTCTTCATCACCGGGGCGCAGAGAGGGGTGAGAGGCTGGTAATGGCATCTGCCAGGGATGCTCCGGTGGGAAGGGAGTGCCGCAGAGAGCAGCAGGGCTGGTGAGGCCAGGCGGGACCCGAGGGGCAGCAGTGATGGTGTGAGAGGAGGACGAGTGGGGAGGAGCAGACCAGTCCACTGGCATGGGAAACACCATTTTTCTGAGCTGCCACACACTGTCCAGGCACCTTCCATTCCCCCTTCCCTGCTCCTACCCTTGGCCCCCCGAGCCCCCACCAACAGAGTCAGGGCTGGACGCTGCTGCCCCTCTGTCCACAGGAGCCTGGGGAGGAAGGATGCAGTGGTGGCAGCCATGTGACATGCAGGAGTGGGGATGATGAGATGCTGGCCTGGGCACACACCTGTGCACGTGTCCCCATCACC